TTCACATCAACCTCTGGACCTTCAGCCTTGACCCCAGGCATCCCAAACTTGGGCATCTTGAACTTGGGCATCTTGAACTTCCCTTCTGGGCCGTGAAGCTCCACGTCTGGAGCATCAATGTCAACTTTGGGGCCCTTGATGTCAATGTCTGGGCCCTTCAGGTCACCTTCCAGCTTGGGCACAGACACGTCCACTCCACCCTTCACTTTGGGGCCCTTCAGGTTCAAGTCCACGTCAGGCATGGAGATCTTGTGTGTCTTGATGTGCATCTCGGGCATCTTGAACTTGGGACCCTTCACCTTCCCCTCAGGCACTTGGATGTCCAACTCTGGACCTTCCAGCTCCACCTTTGGCCCAGACACATCCAGGTCCCCTTTGGGCAGGTTCACATCAACCTCAGGACCTTCAGCCTTGAACCCAGGGACCCCAAACTTGGGCATCTTGAACTTGGGCATCTTGAACTTCCCTTCTGGGCCGTGAAGCTCCACGTCTGGGGCATCAATGTCAACTTTGGGGCCCTTGATGTCAATATCTGGACCTTTCAGGTCACCTTCCAGCTTGGGAAGTGACACGTCCACATCTCCCTTGACTTTGGGGCCTTTGAGGTTCAGGTCAATGTCAGGCATGGAGATCTTAGGGCCTTTGAAGTGCATCTCGGGCATCTTGAACTTGGGACCCTTCACCTTCCCCTCTGGTCCTTCCAGCTCCACATCAGGAAGGTCAACGTTGACTTTGGGACCTTTGATGTCAATATCTGGACCTTTCAGGTCACCTTCCAGCTTGGGAGCAGAAACATCCACGTCCCCCTTGACTTTGGGGCCCTTCAGGTTCAGGTCCACGTCGGGCACGGAGATCTTGGACGTTTTGATGTTCAACTTGGGCATCTTGAACTTGGGGCCTTTGATTTTCCCTTCTGGACCTTCCAGCTCCACCTCGGGCACCTCCACGTCCACTTTGGGTCCTTCCACGTCAATTTTGGGGCCTTTCAGTTCCCCTGAGATCTTGGGGGTGGAAACATCAGCATCTCCTTTCAGCTTGGGGACCTTCAGGCTGAGATCCACGTCTGGCATGGACAGTTTGGGGGTCTGGACGTTGAGTTCGGGCATTTTGAACTTGAGACCTTTCCCTTTGACTTCTGGACCTTCCACCTCCATGCTGGGCATGTGGAGATCCACCTTGGGGGCAGAAATGTCCACCTTGGGGGCAGAAATGTCCACCTTGGGGGCAGAAACATCCACTTGGCCCTTGGGAAGGGTCACATCAACCTCAGGAACTTCTCCCTTCACCCCAAACTTGGGCATTTTCAACTTGGGCATCTTCAGTTTCCCTCCTGGCCCTTGGATCTCCAGCTCTGGAGCTCCCAGGTCAACCTTGGGGCCTTGGAGGTCAAGTGAAGGTGCTTTCAGCTCCCCTTCCAGTTGGGGGACAGACACGTCCAGGTCTCCCTTCACTTTGGGACCTTTCAGGTTCAGGTCAATGTCAGGCATGGAGATCTGGGGGGTCTTGAAGCTCATCTCAGGCATCTTCACTGTGGGGCCCTTCAGGTGTCCCTCAGGCCCTTTGATGTCCACCCTGGGGATGTCAATGTCCACCTTGGGAGCAGAAATGTCCACCTTGGGAGCAGAAATGTCCACCTTGGGGGCAGAAATGTCCACCTTGGGGGCAGAAACGTCCACTTGGCCCTTGGGAAGGGTCACATCAACCTCAGGAACTTCTCCCTTCACCCCAAACTTGGGCATTTTCAACTTGGGCATCTTCAGTTTCCCTCCTGGCCCTTGGATCTCCAGCTCTGGAGCTCCCAGCTCAACCTTGGGGCCTTGGAGCTCCAGCTCAGGAGCCTTCACATCAGCTCCCAAGGTGGGAACAGTCACGTCCACCTTGGGGCCCCTCAGGTCCAGCTCCACGTCTGGCACTGAGACCTTTGGGGCTGTGATGTGCATCTCGGGCATCTTCACTGTGGGGCCCTTCAGGTGTCCCTCAGGCCCTTTGATGTCCACCCTGGGGGTGTCAATGTCCACCTTGGGGGCAGAAATGTCCACCTTGGGGGCAGAAATGTCCACCTTGGGAGCAGAAACGTCCACTTGGCCCTTGGGAAGGGTCACATCAACCTCAGGAACTTCTCCCTTCACCTCAAACTTGGGCATTTTCAACTTGGGCATCTTCAGTTTCCCTCCTGGCCCTTGGATGTCCAGCTCTGGAGCTCCCAGCTCAACCTTGGGGCCTTGGAGATCTACACCAGGTATGTCCAGACCCACCTGGGGCCCTTTGAGGTCAACTTGGGGTCCTTTCATGTCAACCCCCATTTTGGGGAGAGAAACTTCTCCCTCCAACTTGGGCCCCTTCACGTTCAGGTCCAGCTCAGGGGCAGGTCCACGTGGTCCTGGCAGAGAAACCTCTGGAGTTTCAAGGGTCACCTCAGGAGCTTTGAGATCCACCTTGAGACCTTTGGAGCCAAGTCCTTGGGCACCTCCTTCCAGGTCTCCCTTCACCTGAGGACCTTTCAGGTGCAGATTCACATCCGAGAGTGAAATTTGGGGCGTTTCCACCTTCTTGATGGTGGGACCTTTCCATCCTCCTTTGATGGTGTCACCACCAAAGGCCACCTCCCCTTTTGGGGGCCTCATTTCCACCCCGGGACCTTCTCCCTGGGAGTCCAAGGTGGTAAATTTGGGGAAGGTCATGGATGGGATCTTGATTTTTCCCGTCTCAAGCTCCGGAGGTGGGAGCTCCACGTTGGGACCTTTGATGGTCACACCAGGGACCTCCAGGCCTGGAGATGGGACCTTCCCAGGACCCTTCAGCCCCACCTGCACCTGCGGGGCTTGGAATGAAGGAGATGAAGCTTCAGGTCCCGTCACCTGGAGGGAAGAGGTGGTGGAAGAGACATCCAGGCCCGGGGTCGGTAGCTTGGGGGTGGGGAGGTTGGTGGCCACTTGGGGGGCTTGAGGTTCCATCCCAGGAAACCCAAATTTGGGCATTTTCATAACGGGAATCTTGACCTTTCCCACCTCTGAGCTCAGATGCTCCATCCCAGGGAAGGGAACATCAACACCAGGAGCTTGGAGACCCCCAACACAAGGGCTGGAGGGGTCAGCAGGTGACACGTGTCCTTTGCCACCCAACCTGGGACCCTGGAGGTGACCTCCCCCCTCCAGCTTGCCCATCTGTCCATTGGTTGCCACCTTGGAGGAGGAGATGCCCACCAGGCCGGGTCCAACCATCTCCACCCCAAAGGATCTTCCAGTTTCTCCACCAGGAACTTGGCTCTGGGGGAGCGTCGGGTCCACCTGGATCTTCATCTCCTGGTTGGGGACCTTCCACTCGGGGCCAAGGCCACCACCATCCTGGGCTCCATCCCCCCTGGTGACGTCCACGGTGTAGGCTGTCACCTTCCTGGTGACTGTGATGGTCCTGCTCTGTGTCCCACCACCCTCCAGCTCCAGCCCCTCCTCGGACTTCAGCCGGGGTTTGATCTTGGTGGTGTAGATCCTCCTGTACTCCTCGTCATCTCCACTCTGCAACACAGGGGCTGGCTCAGCACCTGGGGGGCTTCTCCTCCCACCCCACCTCCCTTGGCCCTGCTCCTCCCCCTCCTTCACCACCTTCAGCCCTTCTCCACCCTCCTCCCTTCTCCTCCACCTTCATCCCTTCTTCTCCACCTTCACCTCTTCTCTTCCTCTTTCATCCCTTCTCCTCCACCCTCATCCCTGTTCCTCCTCCTTCACCTTTGTCCTTTCTCCACCTTCATCCCTTCTCCTCCACCTTTATCTTCATCCCTTCTTCACCCTCATCCCTTCTTCTCCCTTCTCCTCCACCCTTTCCCTTCTCTTCCCCTCTCCTCCCTCCTTCTTCATCTTCATCCCTCCTCCACCCTCATCCCTTCTCCTCCATCTTCATCCCTTCTTCTCCACCCTCCTCCCTTCTCTGCCCCTCTCCTCCCTCCTCCTTCAACCTCATCCCTTCTCCTCCTCCACCCTCCTCCCTTCTCCACCCTCCCTTCTCCTTTCATCTTCTTTCATCCTTTCTCCTCCACCCTTGTCCCTGTTCCTCCTCCTTCACCTTTGTCCTTTCTCCACCCTCATCCCTTCTCCTCCACGTTCATCTTCATCCCTTCTTCACCCTCCTCCCTTCTCTGCCCCTCTCCTCCCTCCTCCTTCAACCTCATCCCTTCTCCTCCACCCTCCTCCCGTCTCCTCCTCCACCCTCCTCCCTTCTCTTCCACCTTCATCCCTTCTCCTCCACCCTCATCCCTTCTTCTCCACCCTCTGTTCCTCCTCCTCCACCTTCATCTTCTCTCCACCCTCCTCCCTTCTCCTCCTCCACCCTCATCCCTTCTCCTCCACCCTCATCCCTGTTCCTCCTCCTCCACCTTCATCTTCTCTCCACCCTCCTCCCTTCTCTTCCCCTCTCCTCCCTTCTCCTCCCTCATCCCTTCTCCAACCTTCATTTCTTCTTCTCCTCCTCCTTCATCCCTTCTCCTCCACCCTCCTCTTTTCTTCTCCACCCTCCTCCCTTCTCTTCCCCTCTCCTCCCTTCTCCACCCTCATCCCTTCTCCAACCTTCATTTCTTCTTCTCCTCCACCTTCATCCCTTCTCCACCCTCATCCCTTCTCCAACCTTCATCTCTTCTCCACCCTCCTCCCTCCTCCTTCACCTTCATCTTTTCTCCACCCTCTCCCCTTCTCTTCCCCTCTCCTCCCTCCTCCTCCACCTTCATCCCTTCTTCTCCACCTTCATCCCTTCTCCTCCACCCTCATCCCTGTTCCTCCTCCTTCACCTTTGTCCTTTCTCCACCTTCATCCCTTCTCCTCCACCTTTATCTTCATCCCTTCTTCACCTTCTCCACCCTCCTCCCTTCTTCTCCACCCTCCTCCCTTCTTCTCCACCCTCCTCCCTTCTCTTCCCCTCTCCTCCCTTCTCCACCCTCATCCCTTCTCCAACCTTCATTTCTTCTTCTCCTCCACCTTCATCCCTTCTCCTCCACCCTCATTCCTCCTCCTCCACCCTCATCCCTTCTCCACCCTCATCCCTGTTCCTCCTCCTTCACCTTCATCTTTTCTCCACTCTCCTCCCTTCTTCTTCTCCACCCTCATCCCTTCTCCAATCTCATTCCTTCTTCTTCTCCACCCTCATCCCTGTTCCTCCTGCTCCACCCTCATCCCTTCTCCATCCTTCATCCCTTCTCCACCCTCATCCCT